TGGGTGGGCGGATGGATGGATATTGGAGGTTGATGGATGGTTAAGTGGATGAATGGATGATAGATAAATGGGTGGTTGGTAGATGAATGGGTGGGTGGAAGGAAGGAATATTGACAGGTGGGCTAGTCCATGGGTTGATTACGGGTGCGGAATGTCTCTGGCGGGTGGGTCACTGGATGGATGAATGAGATGACGAGTGGGCGAACTGCAGCAGGGACAGGTGCACAGGTGGGCGAATCAGGGCTGGACTAAGTCCATGAGCAGAGGACTCAGTGAACGAGCGCGGGGTGACCCTGGCCCGTCGTCCTTCTGCAGCTGCCCATAGTGGCGTCCTCCATCGTGTCCCTCTACTTCTTGGAGCTGACCGACCTCTTCAAGCCGGCCAAGGTGGGTTTCCAGTGCTACGACCGCACACTTTCCATGCCCTACGTGGAGACCAGCGAGGAGCTCATCCCCCTGCTCATGCTGCTCAGCTTGGCCTTTGCTGCGCCTGCAGCCTCGGTGAGTCCTGGTGCGGGGCTGGGCCAGCCTGCGGGGGCGCCGGCCAGGAGCCTGGCTGAGCATCTCCCTGTCCGGCAGATCATGGTCGGCGAGGGCACGCTGTACTGCCTGCAGTCCCGGCTGTGGGGCCGCAGTGGGGGCCCCGGTGGGGCTGAGGGCAGCATCCACGCCGGCGGCTGCAACTTTAACTCCTTCCTTCGGAGGACAGTGCGGTTCGTGGGTGAGTCGCCTGCGGCACCCGTCCCCGTCCCTGTCCACGCACTGAGGTTGGTGGCCCCGCCCCAGCTCCCGTGCCGGGCCCTGGCCCTCCCCCTCTGCCCCTGCAGGCGTCCACGTGTTCGGCCTGTGTGCTACAGCCCTGGTGACCGACGTCATCCAGCTGGCCACAGGCTACCACGCGCCCTTCTTCCTGACGGTCTGCAAGCCCAACTACACCCTGCTGGGCACGTCGTGTGAGGCCAGCCCCTACATCACGCAAGACATCTGCTCCGGCCACGACACCCACGCCATCCTGTCTGCACGGTGAGCGTGGCCAGCCCCCGGCCTGGTGAGCGTTCGGGGAAGCTGAGGCCCAGTGGGGACCCAGAGCCGCTGGGCTCACCTGCACGCCTCTTGCAGGAAGACCTTCCCATCCCAGCACGCCACCCTGTCCGCCTTTGCTGCCGTCTACGTGTCGGTGAGTCCCAGCGCACCCCTCCCCGGCCTGCCCGCCCGGCCCGCACCCTGACTGCCCGCCTGCCCCGCCGCAGATGTACTTCAACTCTGTCATCTCGGACACCACCAAGCTGCTGAAGCCCATCCTGGTGTTCTCCTTTGCCATCGCGGCGGGCGTCTGCGGCCTCACCCAGATCACGCAGTACCGCAGCCACCCCGTGGACGTCTACGCTGGCTTCCTCATCGGTGCCGGCATCGCTGCCTACCTGGTGAGGGGCTGAGCAGGGAGGCACAGGCATCCCGGGGGAGGTCTGATGGGGGAGGCTGGCTGGAGAGGCAGGTCTGAGGGAGGAGGCCAGCCCTTGCCCTGGAGGACTCTGCTGAGTCCTGGAAGCTGTCCCTTGGAAGCTGGGTCAGAACTTCATGGGCTCAGACTTGCCAGATGTGCAGAGGATGACCTGAGGCCCCACGGGGAAACACATGGACTGCCCTCCTCTGACCCACCTGTCAAGTCTGCTGCCCAGTGGGGACTCTGGCCGCTGGTCACCAGCCGCTGGCCTCACCACAGCCTGCGTCTCACCCCCAGGCCTGCCACGCGGTGGGCAACTTCCAGGCCCCGCCTGCAGAGAAATCTGTGGCCCCAGCGCCTGCCAAGGACGCGCTGCGGGCGCTGACCCAGCGGGGCCACGACTCGGTGTACCAGCAGAACAAGTCCGTGAGCACGGATGAGCTGGGCCCACCTGGGCGGCTGGAGGGCGTGCCCCGACCCGTGGCCCGCGACAAGACCTCACTGGGCAGCCTGAAGCGGGCCAGTGTGGACGTGGACCTGCTGGCCCCTCGCAGTCCCATGGGTAAGGAGAACATGGTGACCTTCAGCCACACGCTGCCCCGCGTCAGCACACCCTCGCTGGACGACCCCGCCCGCCGCCACATGACCATCCACGTGCCCCTCGATGCCTCACGCTCCAAGCAGCTCATCAGCGAGTGGAAGCAGAAGTCGCTGGAGGGCCGTGGCCTGGGGCTGCCGGATGAGGGGCACCTGCACGCGCCCGCGGAGCCCATGGCAGAGGAGGAAGAGGAAGAGGAGGAGGAAGAGGAAGAGGAGGAGGAGGAGGAGGAGGAGGAAGGGGAGGAAGGAGGTCCGGCCCCGCCTTCACTCTACCCCACTGTCCAGGCCCGTCCAGGGCTCGGGCCGCGGGTCATTCTCCCGCCGAGGGCCGGGCCACAGCCACTGGTGCACATCCCTGAGGAGGGGGCCCAGGCGGTGGCTGGCCTATCCCCTAAGAGCAGCGCGGCCGTGAGGGCCAAGTGGCTCATGATGGCTGAGAAGAGTGGGTCCACTGTGGCCACGGCCTCTGCCCAGCCCCGTGTAGCCAACCCGCCCCGGCTGCTGCAGGTCATTGCCATGTCCAAGGCACCAGGTGGGCCTGGCCCCAAGGCAGCCGAGACAGCCTCGTCCTCTAGCGCCAGTTCCGACTCCTCACAGTACAGGTCACCGTCAGACCGCGACTCAGCCAGCATCGTCACCATCGACGCGCACGCACCTCACCACCCCGTGGTCCACCTGTCCGCGGGTAATGGGCCCTGGGAGTGGAAGGCAGCTGGTGGTGGGGCCAAGGGGCCGGAGGGCCAAGGCGGCTATGAGCTGGGGGACCTGGCTCACGGCTTCCGCGGGGGGCCCAAGCCACCAGGTGTGTCCCCAGGCTCGTCTGTCAGTGACGTGGACCAGGAGGAGCCACGGTTTGGGGCCGTGGCCACTGTCAACCTGGCCACAGGTGAGGGGCTGCCCACCCTGGGAACAGCCGACGGGGCTCTGGGGCCGGCCAGCCGGGAGTCCACGCTGCGGCGCAAAGCAGGCGGTCTGGTGCTGGGCGAGCGGGAGGCCTCGGCTGGGGCGGAGGCGGAAGCCTACTACCGCAAGATGCAGGCGGCCCGCAGGTTCAAGGACTGAGGGCTGGGCGCAGGGTGGGCGGGGGTGGGGAGCACACGGGGGCTGTTCCCAAGTCCAGACAATAAAAGATGACCCTGGAGTGTGGCTCTGAGTCCTGTGGGCCCAGCAAGCAAGCTCAGCCTCCCAGCAGCCCCACCGCTTGTAGCTGGGAGCTGGCTCTGGGGAGGTGCGCCCTTGCCTGGGGGCGGGGCTGCTCAGTGGGAGGGTCCCCAAGGCTGGCAGAGCCCCCACGTCTGTTCCCCACCACCCACCCTGTTCAGTCCCCCACATCTCCAGCAAGCCCCCCCCAGCCCCAAGGTAGAAGTGGAGACAAAGCAGCTGAGTCCACAGGAGAGAAGCAGTGAAACAGGCCCAATGAGGGAGATCAGGTGCAGGTAGAGTTTATTTACAGTCCAGGACAGACCGGCCCAGCTGCCTTCTACAATGTGCTGGGAAAAAAGAGCCTACGGAACAGGCAGGAGTTGTTATAAAATTGCTTTAATTCAGTTCTCTCCACATTACAAGCTGGCGGCGGGCAGTGGACTCTGCCTGCTCCCCTTACAACACTGCGCCTGTAACCGCTGTTATCAAAATATACATCTGTCACCATAAAAAACCGCATATGCTGCCCCTTGTGACTTACAACAGGTATAAAAAATTATAAATATTTACACCCTTGTTCCACCCGACATGGAAACTCGGGGCCCAGACCCCGAGGGAGGGCCGGCCAGCATGGGGCCTGTGCGCGGGAGCCCCTTGGACCCATGAGTGCAGGACGAGGCAGTTAAGACCGGAGGGCAGCTGCCCCAGCTCCTGGGGTCCCAGCGTTAGAGGCAGACCAAAAAAAAAACAACAAAAACAAAACTTTGGTCCAAAATTTGCAGGAAAAAAGAAACCCTGAAAGTTTAAGAGCGCTCGTCCTCCCTGACCGAGGACAGTCGGGTGTGAGTAAGGCATGTGGGGGCCACCCAGCTGGCCACGGCATCTGCCCCGAGGCTGGATCCTGCCCTGCGACTTCGTTACAAGGAATAAAATAACAGTATACAAGGTCATACTTGCTGGAGAAACTTTAGATTACACTCATACCATTTTTATCTTGCTATATAAAAAGTTACCTAAAACTATTTCTTTTGCATATAAATGAGAAAGATTAGGATATTTGGTCAACTGGAAATATTGCTAGGCACAGAGTCTGCAGCTGCATCAAAGCGTAATACAAAGGTTCTGGTGAAAACAAAGCTGAAGAAGCGCCAGGGGCATGCCCTGGGGTCTCGCCCTGGGACTTGAAGGGAGAATCACATACTTGATTAAAGGATCTGGGGTGTCGGCCAGACTGGCCGCTCTCAGCCTCCTGCCACACCAGGCACATGATCCCAGGGGAGGCTGGCCCCTTAGGCCCCAAAAGCCCTCCACGCCTGCTACCCCAAGAAGGCCCTGCCAGAGCAGCGGGTTTAAGGCACAAGAGAGCCGCGTGGAGGTTTGGGAGCACGCACCCCGCAGCTGCAGAAGGCACGGGCGAGGGGCGGGGAGCAGGGGGTGCAGGCAAGGACTGCACCCCATCTCCCCTAGGTAAGCAAGTGAATTAGATTTAATTTTTTAAAAACAGGTAAACTGATTTCTCTTAAAAAAATAAAATCTCTGGTCTTTTAAGGTCACTTCAGCTGCTTTTTAAAGTGGCTTTTTTCTGGAATGACGGAAGTTGTGGCCAGGCACCTGGCAGGCTGGTCCTAGGGGCCTAGATGGTGGACTTGGAGAAGGACACCCGCAGGTGGTGGTTCTCGCCCAGATCGTGGTTGTGCAGGTCAATGAGTGCCTGGATGGCCTCCTCCACCGAGCCCATCTGGATCAGGGCCATCTTGCGGTCCTTCCTGCAGATGGAATGAGTGCAGTGAGGGGTGGGGATGTGAGTGCAGTGAGGGGTGGGGATGTGGACGGGGACACAGGTTGGAGACCCGGGGGGGGGCTCTACTCACTGGAAGAACTTGAACCCCTTGACGACCCCGCCATTACTGGAGAAGAGCATCTTGAGGTCGTCCTCAGACACGGAGGGCCTGTGGGAAGGAGGAGTGAGCCCCGGGCCCTGCCCGGGGCACAGCAGGGGGCAGCCCCACGGCAGCACTCACGGGATGTTGGAGAGGTGCAGGGTGGCGGAGGGCGGGAAGATGTTCTGGAAGTTCTTGGAGCCGGGCTTCTTGAAGCGGTGCAGGGGCGAGTTGCCGTAGTCCTTGGTGAGGCCCTGGTCTTCCTGGCCCTCGCGGGGCAGCTGCACGTTCTGGTGCTTGGAGAGCGTGATGCGCACTGGCTTCCCGTGCAGTTTGTGCCCGTTGAGGTGGCTCAAGGCTGGGGAGGGGACACACGTGACCCTAGGCCCCCAGTGCTCGCCTTGCCCCACCCCCCGAGCCCCCACCCGGGGCCGTCCTTACCCAGCTGGGCCTGGCTGCCATCGGCCATCTGCACCAGGGCGTTCTCCTTCTTGTTGAATAGGATCTTCACCCGCTGCACGTCACCGTACACGCCTTCGAAAGCACGGGGACAGGGCACTGAGCCCCTAGACCCCATGGCTGCCTCCCGCCAGCCCCCACGACCCACACACCCCGCACAGGGCCGGCTCTTCCCGAAGGTTTGCTTATTCTGCCTCTGGGCACCTGCGTCTAGTCACAGGGAGTTACCAGGAAGGCTGCCTTCAGCAAAGAAGCCGTAAACTCCAGGAAAAGGCCAAGTGCCAAACGACCATCCTCTGCATGCTACCCACACACTTACTCTGCCCACGGCATGCGGGGCAGTGCATGCTCGGGTCCAGAACGTGCGCAAACCGCAGCCCAGACCTCACGAGCACACCTCAGGGCAGGACAACAACCTCAATTACATGAAAACAAGGTAATAAAAGTGTGAACGATAACATACCGAAAAGAATAAAGAGGCTTTGGGGTGTGACTCTCTTTAGAGGACAGCAGAGCAAGGCAGCGGAGGGACAGGGAAAGGGAGAGGTCAGGGGGCGAGTTGCCAATCGTCCACCACGAGGAGGCAGCCCCGCAGGCGTGCAGGTTGATGGATGATGAAGTTGTCAGGATGTTAATATTCAAGGGCAGGTTGGTTTCCGGAGAGCAGGGTTTGAGGGGGAATTTTTTTTATTTATTTATGGTTTTGTTTTGTTTCAAGCAACAACAGGAAGCAGAAGTACCGTGCAGTCAGTTGGCAAAGAAATTCCGGATCAGGGCAAGAAAAAAAATTGGGAAAGGGGAAGGGGAGAAAAGAAAAAAAGTAGCAAAAACACAGGTCAGTAAATACATAAGAAAACACGCTGTCCCATCAGTCAAGACCACACACATTACGAGCCACGCGCTGGGCGGGCGGACGGCAAGAGGGCGCCCCCTTGCCGCCCTGCTCGCTTCCCCGTAACCAGGCCCTCCAGAACCTATCTCCTGGGGCTGCCGCCAGCCTCCTGGGGCCTCCCGGCCAGGCGCATGTGGACTGGCTATCGGTGGACAGTGTTGCCAGGAGCTGGGACAGGGCTCAGAGGCCGAGTCCCAGTGCCGGTCAGCAGGCGTGAGCAGCTCCTTACAGAGGACACCCGGTCCTCCGGGAGCGAACTGCTCTCAGACTTGATCACTTCACCCCTGTACCCCAAGCTGAACCTATCCCCCAAGACAAGCGGGGGCCCTCCTGCCACCTCAGGGACTGTGGCTGGCGCCCCTCCCCAGAGGCGCCCGCAGGCCTCTGCAGACCAAGGCTTGTTGGGCTCCAAATGCCAAGGTGGCTTCCCTGCACCAAGTAATCCAGCTCTCACTGCTGTGGAGTTAGAAACGTACACTGAGGTGCTGAGGCAAACAGGACAACTCCAAGCACTGCGGGAAAGGAGGCGGCAGGGAGTGATGCCAGCGCAAAGAGAACAGTGACACCGCTAGGCCCCCAGCGCCCGGGAGGCAGGTGGGGGGCTCAGCCTGCACTAGAACCTGGGAGCACAACTCCCTGCTCCCTGCCTTTCCAGGAGGAACGGCCTGGAGGGAGGAGCCACGTACCTCGGGGTTGAGGTTGCTGACCAGCAGGACAGAGTTCCCTGCCCCCGCCAAGCCAGGGATGGCGATACGGCCTGCTGCCGCCGCTGCCGCTGCTGCCGACGGGATGGCCAGAGGCGCCAGGGCCCCATGCACATTAGGAACAGAGAGACCTGGGGAGGGAGAGGCGGCCAAGTGAGCAACCCGCCCCTCTCCCACAGGGCAGACACAAGGCCAGGCCGCCCTCATGCACGAGGACACGCTGGAGGTGGTGTCACTCTCGATCCCATGCCCGCCCATGGCCCGCAGTGCCTGCCCCTCACAGCACAGGTTGTGCTGGGTTTGGACCCGTCCACATGCGCCAAACAGCACAGGAAGCTCCGGCCCCGCGGGCGCCTCAGCCAGGCGCACATGCGGGGGCCCTCACCATGCAGACGGCACGCGGGGCAGGACGCAGCAGGCTAGGACTGTCACGCGGGTGGGTGGGAGAGCACCTGGCCCCCAGGCCCCAGGAGGGACTCCTGGGTGTGCCCGCCCGGCTCACGCCACTCCGCTTACCGGGCCACTGAACCGCACCCACTAGGGACACATCCCTCCAAGCGTGTGCGCTGGTCCTCGCTCGTGGCTTGAAGGGAACCAGACCAGAGACTGCTGGGTTAGTTGGGGCTCCGCCCGGCCTGGCCTACAGCTGCCCTGTCCAGGCTCCATGGGGACCCAGAGGCCCGTGCCCAGAAAGGGGGGGCTCCCGCAAGAGCAGACGTGCGGAGCCAGTGTGGAGTAGGGGGTTTGAGTACCTGCAGCCTGAGGGATGGCAAAGGTGGGAGGGAAACCAGCTCCTGCATACGGAGAGGCGGACATGATACCTGGCGCACCTGGAAACACACCAGACCTGAGGGTGGCGCCCAGGCCTCCACGGCACATCTCCCAGGCCCGCCTCCTGGGCGCGCGGCCTTACCAAAGGCGGCGGCCACGGTCTGATCCAGTGCTGGCTGGCTGTCGCCAGAGGGCAGGTCCGGGCGCGTGTAGTCACGGCTCTTATCGTTGTTGTACTTGACGTTCAGGCTAGTGAGCTTGGAGAAGTCGATGCGCAGCGTGCAGCAAGCATTGTAGATGTTCTGCCCGTCCAGCGACAGCTTGGCGTGCTGCGCACTCATGGGGTCGGCGTACTGCAGCAGCGCCTGGAACTGGTTGTTCTTGGTGAAGGTGATTATCTTCAGGACTGTGCCAAACTTGGAGAAGATCTGAGGGAAAAGCACATGCGGTGTGTCCCGCCAAGGCAGTGGGTCCTGCCGCCCCAGCCCCACCTGAGGGAAACCCACCCACTTACCTGGTGCAGCACGTCCAGGGTCACCGGGTAGAAGAGGTTCTCCACGATGATCCTGAGCACCGGGCTCTGTCCAGCCATAGCCATCCCAGCGTCCACCGCTGCAGCAGAGGCAGCCAAGGCCAGGTTCCCTGACTGGACTGAGTTTACAGCCTGCAGGGCTGCCTGGGCCCGCTGTGGGGGGAACAGCTTTGAGTCCTGCTGCTCCCAGGCCCGCTGCCCCCCACCCGCACCCGAGGGGCACCGCACCGCCTGATTAGGAGAGCTGTCGGTCTTGAGCTCCTTGTGGTTGGAGAACTGGATGTAGATTGGCTGGCCCCGCAGCACCGGCGTCACTGATGTGTAGTAGTTCACCATAGTGTTGGCTGCCTCCTCTGTGTTCATCTCAATGAAGGCCTAGTATGCACAGGGTGGGGTCAGCCAGGTCGAGACCATGGAGCCCCGCTGCCCCAGGGGTGGGCCTCATACCAGCCTTGTACCTGGTTTTTCCCTTTCAGCATCAGGAGGTTGGTGACCTTCCCGAAAGGCAGTCCGAGGGAGATGACCTCCCCCTCGGTGACGTCGCTGGGGAGCTTGCGGACGTGGATCACCCTGGAGGGCACGCCTGCACTCCTGCTGTCCCCTTTGAACTTCTTGCTGTCGTTTCCATTTGCTGCGGGGAACGGGGTTCAAGTGGTACCGAGGCTTTCCCGGGAAGCAAGGTAACCCCCCTTGGCATCAGCTTCCCCCTGCCCGGAGGCGCCCCTGCCCAGCTCCCAGGAAAGCAGGGCTTGAGGTCACAGAGGCAGAGAGGTGGTTACCTGTGGAGGCCGAGTTGCTACTCATGATAAACGGGCCGTTAGTGACGCAGGCAGAGAAGAGCTCGTCAGATCCCCGCTGCCAAGAGAGGGGAGGGCTAAGTGGGACTCCAGGGCCCTGGGCTGCAGCCACCCCATGCCCAGCTTGTCCTCCCTGTGCCCTAGGACCTCTGGTCCTGCCCAGGCCCCAACACAGCTCCTCCCCTACCTGCGTAGCCTGGGGGCTTTCCAGAAGCAGGGCCGGGGTTGGGGGGTGGACTGGCACGTGGCCCCATCTCCACCTTCCCTGTCTGGACACAGGGCTCAAGCTGGCCACTCCCAGGCTGTGCTTCACCCACGACGACTGTCCCAGCCCACAGGACAAAGCCCCCTTGTCACACTGCAGCCACCGGCTCGGCTGCAGGAGCCTGTCCTACTTTCCAGCCATCGGAGGAAACCAGAGCCTGACAACCAGTAACACTGCCTCTCTGGCGGCAGGGTGAGGACTCCCTGCGACGCCAGCCACCAGTCTTCTTTCCAGAAACAACGTGTTTTCTCATTAGCCTCAATCTAATTGAATCATTAGCTGGAGCCTGGGCTTAGAGCAGGCAGGCGTCCCTCCCGCCAGGGAGGACAGAGCCCAGACCCAGGTGGGGCCCTGCCCCCGGAAACAGCAGGGCTGGAGCCCATGGGGCAGGGGCTCCCCAACCGGGAACTGGGAACCATTCCTCAAACAGGGTCTGTGGTGCAGGTAGGGCTTCCCACTCCCAACCTGGCCAGAACAGGAGGACCTGGAAAGACCAGCCCAGCCTGGGCCTCCAGCTCTCAGAGGAGAACCACCTCCCTGCCTGCCCCCTTCTCCCTCCAACTTGTCCCTTCTCAAGGACACCTCCTCTCTGCCCTCCCCCAGACGGCCAGCAGCGATGTTCCATCTGGGCGGGAGCCCACCTCCCCGCGATCCAGGCCCAGAACCTCCTGCAGCCCTTCTGATCATCAGTACCCAGACCAGGCATGGCCTCACAACGCTGGGAGTCACAGGATTCCCCGACTACCAGTTACCTGCCAAATATGACTCTGAACCCAGGCCGAGTGAGCATCTTCTTACCCCCAGCTTCCCACCCTCAGCATCCCTACAGTCCATGAGCCCCCGGCTCAGACTTACGCACGGAGAGCCACCAGCCCTGACCTGCAGCGAGGTCCCTGCCCGAGCACGGAAGGAGCTGCAGGGCTCAGACTTGGGGCCACTCAGACCAGGAGAGAACAGGACTGGGACACAATCTAGGATTGCCTGAGAGGGGGACTTTGATACAAATGAAGCAAAGTGTTAAAAATCAACAGCCAGTCCAGCCTGCCAAACCGCCTCAGGGCACCAGGCTGACCCGTGACTGGACAGAGGGCCACACAGGAAACCAGGCATAATAGAGCCGAGCCCTGGGTCTGAGGGACAGGACCGTGCCTTCCGTGCTCGGGACCAAGCCCTGACTGTCCCCTCCCCATCCCCCTCAGGGACGTGGCCCCCCTTATGACAGGGACAACGCACCCACGTGACTCCCATACACAGACGCACAACCTCAGGCACCTTGGCACCAATCTTCAACCAGTTGACAGGAATGTTCTAACACACAGCCTGGCCTGGCTGCCCCCCTCCTCCCCCAGACCTGAGCACAGGGACCCCAGGTGCAGGCCAAACCAGCAGCTCAAACGGACGGCCCACTGGGGCCCAGACACACCGCAGGGAGGGCAAAACCCCAAGGCGTGTGGGCAGGTCATGCACGGAGACCTCGGCAGGCCTTGTGAGGAACCCACCAGAGCCAGGACCACCGGCTGGAAGGCAGGCCACAGGGCCGGGCTCTCCCTAGTCCAGCAGATAGGACAAGCCCTGCACGTGCCCACTGCAGGCCGGCACTCGGGAACCTCTCTCACAGCACAGCTGGTTCTGAACTGGAGGCGGGGGGTGGGACCCAGGCTGCCTTGCTGGGGGGCATGGCACAGGGAGCCTCAGGGTCTCCATCCTGTGCAGGTCTGATCCTGGGAACAAAGGTCCCCTGGGAGCATAATGGACCCACAGCCTGGGGAAACCGGCTCCCACAAAAGCAGGGAGCAGAATCTCTGTGACTCTACAAGCACTCTAGATTAAAGTCCCTCTCCCGCCTCCCAGCAGGTTTTATCTGCAGGAAGATCAGGGTGGACACTGCGAGAAGACAAGACTCCACCTGGGAAAACTGAAACCTTGCAGCGGCCCCACAGCCAATGGACCAGAAACCAGCTGGCTGCCTGCTCAGGACACCCGAGCCACCTGCAGCAAGCCCAGGGAACAGGGCCCAAGGGGACCAGTACCACAGCCAGGACTGCCAAGTCAACCAGCCGGGCAGCAGTGCTTCCCACAGCCCGGCTGTCCAGTCCCCAAGCAGCGAGCCTAGCTCCCGCCTCCCCTCGCACTCCTGCCGCCCCCGCCCTCATCGTCTACGACACTTGAGGACCTGTGCGTTGAGGGAAGAGTGCCCGACTTTCTCTACCTCAAAAAACATACTACTTTTCAGAACAAAAATTACCCGGACAAGGGCGTCATTAGAAGTGCACTCCACTTACCCCGGAACGCCCACGTATTCTCCAAGCCCACTGCTCACCCCACAACCTGCTTGAGGTGCACACAGATTGTGACATTCTCCACATCAAACCAAAGACAGCCCCCCTGCACACCCCACAAACCGTGAGTTGTGTGGTCCACGCAGGACTGGTCAGCTCTCGATTCCAGAGCAGGGCAGAGGGGTCATGAGCTAAAGCCTGAAACACCTTCACTGCCGAGGGGCCACCCAACCCACCCGACCTCGACTCCCCTCGCCCAAATGCAAACTGGATGCCATGGGAGGACTGCTGGTGGACGAGGCACCGAGCTCTGCAGCAGGAGCTGACGGGCCTCAGGGTCAACACGATCGAGAGGAAGTCAGTCGTGAGTGCCTACCTTTGTACCAACTGCTATATCTGGGACGATGCTGCAGAGAGAGAAAAGGACAACGTTAGGTACGGGAGCCCACAGCACCTCAGCCGGCGGGAGGGCCGGCCTCGCCCGGATCCCCAGAGCACAGTGTGGGTTCCTCCAGTCCCCCCATCGGAGGCCTCCTCTAACTGGAGAGCTTTGGGCAGGAAAGTGAGCTGCCGTCCACTTCATCTCAGCTTGAAAAGGCGCCATCATTGTCCTCCAGCTCCCCTCCCCCGGCAGGCCCCCGGCCCCACCTCCCGATCTGTCCCACCACAAAGCCACCCCCTTCAAAGCCCCTAGGAGGGACACTTGATGCTCATTAAGCTTCAAGTGCTTCTGCTTGCTTTCTAGAAATGGGAAGTGCTTCGGGAATGTTTACTGAAGGGAAGACAGGCTGGTAGGGGGGACCAGAGGGGCGGCACGATGGAAACGACCAGATACGATTAACGTGAGTTACTCATCAACCTGGTTCCGCGTGACTGGACTTTCTCCCGCTGAGGGCCGCGCTGCAGGAGGCGGGGCGCCTAGCACCCAGCAGAAGAGCCCTCCGAGGGCTTCTATGTGGCAAACAAACTGGCGATGTCCTAATGGCTCAGAAAACGTCCAGGAAGAGAACTTACCCAGCAACACCCCTCATCAAATCACCTGGTCACCAAGGCCTGGCCACCCATGACCAGAGCCTCCCACGATGTCACACGATGCCCCCTCACCCAGCCAAGCCAGCTCTGGGGCCTCTGCCTGCGGGATTCCCCCTCCAGCCCTCAGGGAAGCAAGCCTGCAGCACCAGGACCCTCGGCTCCTCCGTGGGGCACTGAGCCCTAGCCTGCTCTGCACCATCCTCACCAACTGCCTCCGCCGAAGAACTTCCCCCACTCCCCTACAAAAACCTCATGGGCTAGTGTCAATGGACTTTAAAAACCCTACTGAGCCCCCCCCAAAAAAACCTCAGAAAAACAAAGAATGAAAAGCATGCAGTTTCCCAACTGTTAACCCAGGCCGACTCGCAGCCTCAAACTCCCAGGGAGGGCCTCAAACACAGGAAGTGCTCTACTTAAAATGGCCTTTTCGGAAAACGTTTTCAAACTTTCCAAAGAGAAGGCAGCCGAACAGAACCTGCTCCCGCATGGCCAGGCCTGGCTGCCTACGTAACCACACCACCTACAGAGGCTGCAGAGGGGACCCGGCGCCCCAAACTGCGTCTGGGGGAGACGACGTCCCTCAAAACAGTTCTAAGAGAAAAAACCCGAGAACTGCACCAGACTGCCAAGGACACACCACCCCCGTCGAGATCCCCCACAGGGCTCCTGAGCGCCCCCCCCCGCTCGCTGGCTCCGGAAGGGGTTCTCCGGTAAGTCCACCCAAGCCGAAGCGGCAAGCAGACCACGAGGAGATCAAGTTCTTCTTGCTGCAGCAATTTTTCTAAAAGGCTGGCCTTAATTCATCTTGAAACCTATCATTTCAAACCCGAGGCACCGAAAGCACGTGACCCTCCGGGCACGTTTTAACCGCCCGCCCCCGCCCAGAAAAGCAGAGGAAGTAAGGGCTTGTTGAAAGCTCCCCATCAGAAATGATCCCAAGGCCTCAAAACCTTCAAACTGAGTGCAACGCGGAAAGCGCAACCCTCCCCGGGTAGAGACCTAGCCCCGCGCGGCC